TCCAACGCCTCCAAGTTTCTCCCTTTTCAGCCATCCCAAGGGCATGTTCATGGCATTTTATGGAGGGACTGTCATTACTTTCCCACACGTTTAACTTTTAGTACAAAGAGTAACCCCAAGCTGTTTGTCTTATTTGCTAAAACACTATGTTGGCCACCACTCAATATTAGCGATTGTCCTGCAATCACCCGGTTTCTTAGATGACTTCCTCACGATAGAACACCCTCACTCCACTCTGGTTAGTATTCACAAGACGATGGCACTTTCACACCACTAGGGGTTCCACTTTCACAAACTGATCTTCTTAGGCATTCATCTTTACCCTATCACGCTATAGAACATGTCCACCTACAGAGAAGGTACATTGCAATAGAGTCTGGGGAACCTTTTTCTTGCGAAGAGCACATGTACCTGGGGGGATCTACAGTCCTTACTGGGCACGTTGAACTTTGTCATGAGAATTATTCCTCAGGGCCGCACATCTATTTCCCGACCACTGTGTCTTCTTCCCACCGACAGTTGCATTTTGGCACTAGTTGTGCTTACTAAAGCAGACCTACACATATGGCTCAGGTTCATACCACACTGGAATAGTAGGCCAGGTTATTCCCGCTATTTCTCAACATTCCCCAGCTCAACAATGCAGCCGCACACACTGGTTTCACAGTCAGTTTGGTGACTTTTGGTTCTGAGATTCCTGGCCAGTTGAGACTCTTGGTTAAAATCTTTCCATTCCTCCTCAGCATTGTTTGGAATCTACCCCATAGTGCCGCCTACAAGGCCTGGGGGTATGAGTGGATAGGGGAAACTGTCAAGTGCTTCTCTGACAATGGAGCAGCCGGAGATACCATCAATAAAGGCAGATCTTCATTCTTGACAATCATGGCTTATTAGACAACTCACCTGATAGGCAGCAACACTACAATTTCACATCACGTGGGCACAAATTCCCGGTCGTACGTACAAGTAGCTGACTCTTTATCTCGCTCTAATTTACAAGACTTCTTTGAAGTCCACCCAACAGCCAACAACAGGCCGGACTACCCCCCCTTCCCCCCGCATTCCATGGCTTAAAATCTGGACTAACTCGCCTCACGGCATTTGGCAGATTTCTGGATAGAGCTGCCCTCTCCGTTTATACATCACAAGCATACAATAGAGATTTCACCTTTACAACAAGTTTACCACCGAATACCATAATACCGATATTCTTTCACTAGACGCCATTGTGGCACTCCTCTCCTTTTTGCCCCCTCAATTTAAAACTCTCTTAACACTACAAAACTTTACCTGACTGGAATACAACACCATATCTTAAGTGCCTATCCTAGTACCAAACAGTTCACATCCTCTCACCATGTGACGAACCTATGGACAATAAGGTGCCCGGTCAAAATGCCAGACCTTTACAGGTTATCACTCACTGGACTAAACCTCAATATGCCCCTATTTACACTGCTGGGCAAACCACTCACTACAGCTAAATTCATAATGTATCTCAGAACACTCTAAGCTAGGTGGGGACTCAACCACAATGCCTTTTCGGGACATTCGTTCAGAATCGGGGTAGCATCAGCTGCCTCTAGACAAATGTCCATGCTCACATCATAAACATTAGGATGCTGGAAATCCGCAGTGTATTACTTGATACATACCACAACCAGAGCTAGACTTGAGTAGACAAGTTTTTATGAATCTTGCTACGTAGAGATATGTAATAAGGTTATTTTATTAAATTTTTGCCCTCTTTTATTACAGGCCTACCTGATACGTTGGTTTCGGCACACCACAACCGACTTGCTCATATATCTAACTTTTCATAGATACAGCTTTGGTCCCCGACTACAAATTGGAAGGCGGAGCCTGAAGTTGTGGGAGGGGTTACCCAGCTATTTAAACTCAGGCCCCCTACACCACAGGGCTGATGCTGCCGGGTTCATCCCTCCCACCTCCCATTATACATATTACTATTACAGGTCAGCCCTCTTTTATTACAGGCCTACCCGATACATCAGTTTCGGCACACCACAACCGACTTGCTCATATATCTAACTCCAGTGGGGATCTTCTATCTGGAGATGTCAGTCTTCCTGCTGCTCACTGCTCCCTCACGCGGGCAGTTTAGTGATGCCGGGTACTGGAGTATGACGTCATATTCCGGCACCTGGCATCACTACAGATGGCGCGCACGAGGGAGCAGTGAGGAGCAGGTAGACAGAGCTCCTCCAGCGATCTTTCCCCCTGCTGGGTAAATTTTAGCAAAGTAGGCACTTGCAATGTGGGGAGAGCTTTTGGCCCTAAAGTTTCTCCCTTCCCTCCCCACTTTTTATTTGAAATAAATACAGTTACCCACAATAATTTTATGTATGTCTTTGATTGAGTGTATTAGGGTTTTTTTTTTATTTTTATTACTACTATGTCTGTTATTCTGTTATAATTGTACAAAGCCACAAGTTACATGAAAATGTACGTGAGAAAAATGATTTCAAGTGCTGTACACCTTTTGTGATAATCTAATAAAGTACAAATTGAAAATAAAAATGACTCATATCAAATGTGGGCGCCAAGCCAACCTGCATCGTCCACAAGATGTGGGTCGCATATGTTTTGGCGTTGCTTGTAACACAAGCCATTGATAAGCCACTTTGGCTATTTATAGCCCTTTTGACCTTGTTATTTCCCTTGTAATGGTCTAAGTTGCCTGAAAGTGCTTTTTGTGTTAGTGTGTTTTTCTGGTATTGACTTGGCTCTGTGTATTTCTCGATTACCTGATTATATTCAATCCTTGACCTTAGCCTGCATCTATTACTTTTTGTCTCTCTGTAGACTGTAGTCTATACTTTTACACATAGGGCCCGGCCACTCTAAGGTCTGGTAATATGTTCTGTCTAACTATAGGGTACTAGTGGCCTCATTGTTTGTGTGTTTGGGAAGTTGTCCTTGACATTACCACTGGGCTTTTAACTCTGCAAACCTGGGGTAACAATTAGCCTAATTTGAATCTAGGATAGAAGAATTTGATCACAGAATTGGTCAGTTTGCACAAGCACTGCAAATGATCTGCTTGTCTTCAGTTTGAGGCACAAGCTTCTGTGACACAAGTTGCAGCTACTTATTATGGAACATTTTGAGAAGCTCAAAGGGGCCACCATTTTTACTAAATTGGATTTAGGAGGAGCTTGTAATATAGTCTGTATTAAGGAAGGAGATGGATGGAAGATGAGGGGGCGATAAAGCGCATTAGGCCCTCCCCATAGGAAAACATTGAATCAATGCAGAGCGCGAATACGTCCAGAGTCAGTTACAGGACCAAAAGTCCATTAACAGCCAGAAAGCACCTCCAGTGGTTGCCTGGTAGACAGCCACTGGAGGCAGACTTAGTGCTGCAATGTAGCATGAAAAACAATGTGTTAAATTCAGCCTGGTCTGGGTGCCTATAGTGTCCCTTTAAGGTTAGCAAAAACATTTGCAGTCCACAACCTTGTAGAAAAGATATATCAGACATCTGCTTTTTAGCCAGAAACAACTGGAGTGTTTAACCATTACATTACAACACAACAAATATATATCAACCAATTCTATGACACTTTCTGGGTTACATAATTTCATCCAGTGTTGTATTTTGGTTCTGTGCTGCCCTAGACATAACTAAGCTGTGGCAACTCCCCCCCCCCCACCCCCCTATATAAATTTGCCCCACACCTTCCTGTCAAGGCCACACGTCTTCCTGTTGAGCATCCACAAACACTTTGACTAACAGACACATGCCGTCACTGATACTTACACTGACACACTCACAGACACACTGACAGAAACACACTCACACAAACACATGCATTCACTGACAGACATTCACAGTCACTGACAGACACACACACACAGTAATCACAGGTATCAGAGTTCGCTCCCTTGCCGCCTGCCCACAATTAGCACTGGCGCCCTCCTGGGGGTGGGGAGTCTAAGGTGGCCAGTCGGCCAGCTCTTGGGCCCCCCATGAAATGAGGCAAACAAGACATTTGGTGAGGCGTTTGGGGGTGACTTTTTTTGCCCCCGTCCAGGAAAGTGCTGCCCTAGGCAAATGCCTTGTTTGCCTTGCACTAAATACAACACTGATTTCATTTAAAGCTTTCAAATGGATCCCATTAACTCACTGCTATCCTAGATTTGTAATTGCCTTTTGGTTTGAAAGCTATTTAGAAATTTGTTGGGTCTGCAAACTACAACATGTTTCATCCAAGGTTTTTCACAGATAATTGCCCCTATTACTGCAATGACCAAAAAGAAGGATAATCACATAGACTAGTCTGCAGAAGCAAGGAAAGCATTTGATGTCCTTAAAACTGTCTTTGCTTCCATTCCTGTTTTAGTGCATCCAGATCCATCAAGGTCATTTATCTTGGAGGTGGATGCTTCAGAGATCAGTGTTAGGGCAGTTCTTTCCCAGAGAGCATTCCCTAAAGCACCTTTACATCCCTGCAGGTTATTTTTGCACAAACTCAATTCCGCAGAGTGAAATTATAATATTGGTGATAAAGAACTACTGGCTATTGTTTTGTCAATAAAACAGTGGTGTCCTTTATAAGCACACGGCTGTCTTGTAGGCAAGCCCGTTGGTCCCTCTTGCTCTCAAGGTTCAACTATTGTCCAGGACACTGTAACACAAAAGATGATTACTTACCTAGGTAGTTTGAAACCATTGCTAGAAGGAGTAAGAGGTAACGACATTAACAAATTAATCTACTCGCTATATAAAGCTTTGAAAACAGTGTGTTAAATTCAGCCTGTGCTAGCCCTTTAAGTGTTACTGTTGATGGAACCAGGTAATTTATTGGAACATGCACTGTTCACAAACAGTTGCTAAAGTTTTTCTTTTTTATCCAGTGTGTTATCTCACAAAAAAATGTAATTCAGGGGAATCCAGATTTTAATTTCACGCTTGCCGTGTTCTGATTCCTGATTGTAAGAAAAAATACACTAATAAATGACAGACACATGGAGAATTTGGAGTCTGATTGAATTGCTGCAAATAGTTTAATTGCTGGTTAAGCAGACATGGCACACACACATTGCTACAAAACGTAAAGGCAGAATCCCAGCCCATACACATCGGCACGGAACATATAGCACCAAGGTCATTTCTTAGATGTATTGTGTTTGAAGCAATCCCTTTCATTGGCAAAGGCCAGAGCCCAAAATCAACCTGCAAGCTTGAATTTCATCTGTGTTAACTAGTGGAGCAGAGAAGGCCATCCCAGATAAGTATTACTGAAATTGAGAGAAATTGTGGTCTCTTCATAGCATCTACAACATATTATTTGAATAAACATTTACGAACGGTGATAAATATATATATATATAAAGCCAGGTTTTTTCTCAAAATCTCTATACATTAAGGATAATGGTGTAACAATATAAAGTGCACAAAAAGATAGATGATATTTTACGCAACTGTGAGATGTTCATTTGTTGCTGTTGATATGATATATATATTTTTTTGTTTTTGTACACTTCATCACTCTTCACCATGACAAGGAATGCTTAGCTGACCCAATTTATGAATCTAAGGATAACTTGGTTACCTATTGGTTTAGCTTGTACAAACCTGACCCTTACTCGGCAATGTGTATGCCTGGACATTAGAAATGGCATATTTAAATGTTTCTAGAGAGCTTATCTGTTGGTACAGTGGAAGAATAATGTTAAGAATGCTTATGTAAAACCAAAGCTTTTTTTTAATATGCACTGTAAAAATATGCATTAAGAAATTATTACAATAATACAAAATAAAGTACCAATAACCACTTGTAAATGTATGAGTTGAGGTTACTGTAAATAAGTGAACAAACAAGTGAAAAAACCTTGAAAATACTCTGTTGAAGAGATAAACCTCAGAATCACTCAATTAGATAGCCCCGGCTGCTTCATGTCTTCATGAATGGATTATTATAATAAATGCATTGTGTGTCGCCAAGTACATCATCACTTCTCTCCTTCAGATGACTTCTCCTTCCTGGATTCTGTGACAACCTGCTACAAACAACAAAATTCAATTAAATGATTAAACACCATTACTATTACATACACATCTTAGTCAATAGATCGATGCGATTCCTTAACAACAACAAAAACATGTAGATATACTAAGACGTGGACATCATAGGTGATGTCTGTCTTCAGCTATATATTTGATCATATTAACTTAAATAGGAGTTTCAAAGTGCTCCTACAAGCTTATGGTAGAGAGGCCTCCCGTTGTTAATTGCGTTAAAAAGAAATGTTGGAACTAGTGTTATAATCCATCAATGACACTTGCTAAACTTTATTTATTCACTGAAAATAGAACACTGAATCTTAATATCTTTCCATATGCCTAATCTCAGGCTGTTTGCACTGACATCACCCAATGTTTGAATTAGAAGGAAATATCCTACAAAACTTACACCCACTCATGTTAGAGAAGACTTTGTTTTGGTTCAGAAACCTTACATACTCCATTTGGAGGTATGTGATCGGATGGGCGGTCTGCCTACTGAAAGGGTCCTTATGGCTGGCCCCCAACTTACAGGATCATGCAGAGAGCACTGCTGAACTCTGCAGGGTCCTAGTGCCTGATCAGAGTACGAACACTGTGGTGTCCGAGTACAGTTCCCTGGTATCCCCAGATGAGGAATACCAGGGTGCAAAATTGGGATGGCAGGACAGAACCCTGAAATCAACTATTGGGGGTAGGGGGCATCCCCTTATGTACTGTATATACTCGAGTATAAGACAAGTTTTTCAGCACATTTTTTGTGCTGAAAAACCCCCACTCGTCTTATACTCGAGTCAATGTCTGTATTATGGCCATAATAAAGACCAGGACCGCCGGGCTCATTACAAGCCCGGCGCTCCTGTTGGGGGCTGGCAGCGAGCTGTTACTTACCTTTACAGCAGCTCCTGTCAGCTCCCTTCTCCTCCGTTCCGGTCAGTTTCAGTGTAAGTCTCGTGAGAGCCGAGGCATCAGAGCGTTGCTCCACGTGGCACACAGACCATGAGACTTACAGTGGAGCTGACAGGAGATGCTGTAAAGGTAAGTTACAGCTTGCTGCCAGTCCCCCTCCTACACAGCCCATCCACTGGACCACCAGGGAATAATATAGCCCCCCTCCCTGGCCAGCTAACAAGCAGGGAGGGGGGACGAAAAAAATAATATCACATTTTTAATAATATTAAAATAAAATAAAAATTTAATAATATTAAAATAAAATGTAATATTAAAATAATAATAAAAAAATGAATAATAAAAATGCCCACCCCCCACCATGGTTACAGACACTGCATTCATACACACACACACACACACACACACTGCATTCATACACACACTGCATTATATACACACACTGCATTAATACACACACACACTGTATTATATACACACACACTGCATTATATACACACACACACACACTGCATTATATACACACACTGCATTCATACACACACTGCATTATATACACACACACTGCATTCATACACACACACTGAATTCATACACACTGCATTCATACACACACACACTGCATTCATACACACACACACACACTGCATTATATACACACACACACACACACACTGCATTCATTATATACACACACTGTAAATAAATATTTAATTAATATAATTTTTGGGGGATCTAGTTTTATTTAGAAATTTACCAGTAGCTGCTGTATTTCCCACCCTAGTCTTATACTCGAGTCAATACGTTTTCCGAGTTTTTGGGGGTAGAATTAGGGGCCTCGACTAATATTCGGGTTGACTTATACTCGAGTATATACGGTATTTCAGCACACAGAAATTATAACCTCCACAGAAGTGTAATAAACTATTCTAATAAGTAAAATTACCTTAAAGGACCACAATAGTGCCAGGAAAACATACTCGTTTTCCTTGTACTATAGTGCCCTGAGGGTGCCCCCACCCTCAGGGACCCCCTCCTACCCGGCTCTGGAAGGGGGAAAGGGTTAAAAACGTACCTTTTTCCAGCGCTGGGCGAAGAGCTCTCCTCCTCCGATCCTCCTCCTCTCCTCCCCGTCAGCTGAATGCGCACGCGCGGCAAGAGCTGCGCGCGCATTCAGCCGGTCGCATAGAAAAGCATTATCAATACTTTCCTATGGATGCTTGCGTGCTCTCACTGTGATTTTCACAGTGAGAAGCACGCAAGCGCCTCTAGCGGCTGTCAATGAGACAGCCACTAGAGGAATTGGGGGAAGGCTTAACCCATTCATAAACATAGCAGTTTCTCTGAAACTGCTATGTTTATAAAATAATGGGTTAACCCTAGAAGGACCTGGCACCCAGACCACTTCATTAAGCTGAAGTGGTCTGGGTGCCTAGAGTGGTCCTATAATTTACAGTGTGATACATTCATATACACTATGACTTACCTCCCCATCTCGGGTCTCAATTGTTTTTATTACAACAGTTTTTCTGGTATGAACCTCTGAACTCTGATCATGTTCCGGTATAGAGTGATAACCTAAAAATGTAAAGGTAAGATTGTGAATGTTTATAATTTTAAAGTAGAGAAAGGTACTCAGAGAAAGACAATACCAACATAAGAAAACTAATGGAATATAGAGAAAATGAGAATGGGGGCTAAAAATAAACAAGACCTAGCATCTGAGGAAGTAAATATAAAAAGCTAAGGATAATGAGATATCAAATAGAATATGATAATAAGAAGTCAAAAATAATAAGATAAGGCCAAAAACATTAATGACAAAACTACTTTATAATAATTTGTAAAGCATAATGTATGCACACATTGACCATATCTGTGGATATCATGAAATTATACACATAAAAGTGATAAGTAAGATGCAATCTTTGCATTTAATAATCATATTCTTTTTGATGTAGGGTCACAGGTAAATCAGTGTTTCTGTCTAATGTTTTTTTTTAAACCTAAATGGAGTCCTTAATTTATATGTGATCATATTTAAAATATTTAAACCTGTAAATGTGATGTTATTGCTTCTGCAATAAACTGTACAGTTACTCACCTGGGCTTTTAATACTAAGACTTGACATTGTATGGATTGGGACAGCAATCCTGAAATGGACATGAAACAATTATAAAATACCAAATTTACTTACATGGCATAAAGGAAGAGTCTTTAAACCAAGAAGTTGGATGCATGCATTTATTTATGTATATTTTCATTGAATCTCTTGTCTGCAACCTTTGCAAGCCCTCCCGTCCCTTTAGCACGGGATGTGTTTCTGCCCCCCAATTATATATCTAATGAAATCTGCACTTTTATAAACTGTCTCAAATGTGACAGGCTCCAGACACATGAAGCTTTTCAGCAAGCTGAAGTATTTATGTTTGTGTTCTTATGCATTTGTCTCTCTCCCTGATATGCTTAACTAAGAATTGTGACAATCATTTTAATCATAGCTTCGGCTGCTTGTATCATGCTTGTGGAAGCATAGTTTCCTATGAGAAGAAATAGATAAGAGATAATTGCTCTTTACTCAATATTGGGTAGCTAGATTATTATTGATCTGTGTGTTCCTTTTCCTGGGGATTTGAGTTCAGAATCTCAAAAAAGAGAAAAAGATGAATCTATGAAATGTTTCTACATACTCAATACAACAAAGAAAAAATATCAAAATGTGCCTCCCCTACCTGTTATACCACCAAAGAAAATGCACATATCCTTTAAAAAATCTTCGACAGTGCTGGTCCTTAAACCAAGGAATTATTCGGGTTGTATTCACCCAGGGATATCAGCAGTAGTTCTTAAACAGTGGTACAAGAGCCTCTCATGCTGCAAACTGTTATATAATGTGTAAAGATAATACACATTATATCTGTGTCTAGCTGCATATAGGTATAACCTACCTGTTGCAACCTTCAAATGCCTGCCAGTTCTTAATTAAAACTGTTCTTTATGGTAATCACATGAGATGCTATCTGCTTGATGAAATGCTTCCTCACTCTGTACTAAGATTCATGTGCAAAAGCTAACATCCCTTTTCCAGCTCACCTGCTCTCCTCTCCCTCCAAGAGTTTCCTGTATGTTGCAATCTCAATATCTAACGCCATCTTCACATTAAGCAGGTCTTGGTACTCCCTTAGATGGCGCGACATTTCTTCTTTCATATGCTGTACTTCCTGTTCAAGGCGGCCAATCGTGTCCTGGTAGTTAGCTGCCTCAACTCCAAACTGCTCCTCCATATTTTTCAACTGACGCAGCAGAGCATCATTCTGGTTAGCAGAACCAAAAAAAAAGGATTTATGAGAATAGCACGTCAGAATATTTAAATAAAAACAGCATGTTATAATTAGATGATTCTGAATTATATCTAAAAACTGAAACTGATAAGGCCAAGATTTACTATATTTTTTTTATAATAAAGCTTGCTGTAGTGGTTATGATCCCAGGCCATAACCTAGCGCTGTTCCATTGTAATGACATTCCTGGGTACCGGCGGGCACTGGGGCTTCTAGAATAGCCAGTGATGCACATTCAGGCTTCTGCAGATCTGATGCCAACCCTGACGCGCATTCATTTGCTCAGAGCGTCAACTGGGAACTCTCAGCCAATGAATGGCACTCTGCTCATAGAATGTGCACAAAATCAACACCAGTCGGCCTGAAAATCCTGTCCCAGGTGGCTAATGACATACTAATGATGGTGCGGGGGATGGAGTTGCAACTCTGGCAGCATTGTTAAATATATCTGTGTGAATATTTGAAATGCTACACATACATACTCTAAGTACAATGACCACTTAAAATCAGTGAAGTGGTCATGGTGCCGGGAGTAACCCTTTAAGTCCATTTAAAATCATATGTTACACATTTCTATGTATTGATCTACATTTCTCCAGTTTATACAATTACATTTTTATTGACAAATAATGGAGAATAATAGAGGAATTAGAAATAAAATATTGTAAAATAAAAACAATGTGACAAATCACAACAATAAGTAAAGCATATGCTGAATAATTTGAACACCATCATCATTTTTAGTTTAACAAGGTCTTTAAAAAGTGATTGATATCAAACATCGAGATTAATAACTGAAAAATTGAGAATTAGTACAAGCTCTAATTTACTTTTTGTATTTTGTTGTATTTAGTAAACTCCACAGATCTTGATTCCTACATGCGAAGAATAAGGACTATATGGTTTAAAGGAATTACGTACTGTTCCCTTCAGTCCATCAATTTCACAGGTCATACTCTGGATCTGGCGGCGAGATTCATTCATCTCCTGTTTGGCTTGACGCAGTGCCTCATTATTCCGACTTGCAGCATCTGACAGGTCAGCAAACTATATGCAGATAGGAAATAATTAAGACTAATTCAATATTATTAATAAGACAGTAAATTGCTTGTTGCTGTATCTATTATGTCAGTAATGAAGTACTTGGAAGGTTATATGCTTTATATGGTGAATTAATAAACATAAACAATTTTTTATTGTTACAGCTATTTTCATTCAAGATTTTTTCCTTCAACGGAACTTTTTTAACTTAAAGGACCACTATAGTGCCAGGAAACCATACTCGTTTTCCTGGCACTATAGTGCCCTGAGGGTGCCCTCAATGCTTTCCTATGGACGCTGGCGTCTTCTCACTGTGAAATTCACAGTGAGAAGCGTAGAAGCGCCTCTAGCGGCTGTCAATGAGACAGCCACTAGAGGCTGGATTAACCCTATTATAAACATAGCAGTTTCTCTGAAACTGCTATGTTTATAGAAAAAAGGGTTAACCCTAGCTGGACCTGGCACCCAGACCAATTCACTAAGCTGAAGTGGTCTGGGTGCCTATAGTGGTCCTTTAAGGAAAAGAATGTAAAAGGCCAGTCTACCATCTCCATACGTATAGACTCCTTTGAGTGAGAGTTGGTTTTACTAATCCCTCGTAGGAATTTGAAAACTGTAATGCACATTCAACACATAGTCCTTCGTATCTCTAAACTGTAACACAAGGGAGGATCCACATTCTCTGCTTAATGTATAAATCCCATTATAAATATTAGAAAGGACAAACAAATAACAAAAACATCTCTTTTGGTCTTTGTCTTAGTAGCAGTGTGCTATCTGGCTATGAGAAGCCTCTGCTGGTCTTAGTACCTTGGATTTATACCATTCCTCGGACTCCTGTAGGTTCTTTGCTGCAATGTTCTCATACTGGCTGCGGATGTCTTTCAGTGCAGATGTCAGGTCTGGCTGCTTGGTTGCCTCGATCTCCAAATGAATGGACTGAGTCTGTGCGGTCACTTGGACATCCTGAAGCTCCTTTAATTACAAGCCGTGCAAAAGCTTAATGTTATTTCACAGTGCATATCATGTCAAATCCCAATCCCAGACCCATGAAAATAAGCAGATGGATCTCATGCATTAGCACATCTACTGCAGAGTATAGCATTGATAGGAATGTGTATGGCATCTTGGAGGCTGAGTGAGAATATTTGGGTACGCTGCCTAATATAACTTTGGATGCATTGCATGACACGCACTGATCCTGAGTAATATCTTGGAAGTTAATGACTTGGCACAGCATAGGCTATCATGTAAAGTAATATTTGCCCTCTAGAACCATATTTTGGAACATGTGACCATTTTGCTGCTTATTGCTGGTTTGCACATTGTATTATCCAGCTGCTGTATGTCATTAGCCAAAACAGGAAATAAATAAATAAAGGTAATTGTGCTAACACTTTTCGCTGCAGGATACATGTAACTACATTCAGTTTCCATCTTTCCAGATGTATTTGTGAGTATGACTAAACTCTGAGCAGATACGATGTTTTTTTTTATGTGTGTTGTGTTTAACCCCTTAACAACCAGATACCACATAATTATATGAAAACAATCTAAACTTTAGAGATTCTGTATCAATGTTGAATGTTCAATTTAGCCAACAATGGGGGCTCTGCAGAACCGGTGATGCGGAGAGAACAATTGTGTGAAGCGGAATGGAATAGGTGATTTAAGGAGAAGAGAAAAAGGGTTCAAGTGAGTGATGGAGACAATGGGGAGGGGAACAAGTAAGAAATGAAGGCAAGAAGATGGGAAAAAGAGAGGGATGGGAAAAGAAAAGAGGAAGAAGTGACGGATGGGGAAGAGAAGCGGGGAACAAGTAAGTCAAGAGGGAAACAAGAACAAGAGGGAACAATCAGAGAAAGAGGGGGTATGGGTAGAAGGGCATAATTGGGGAGAGTTGAAGAACACATGTGAAGGGGAGATAAATTAACAAAGGAGCATGGAGAGATAAAGATGGACAGATGGGAATTGTAAACACAGTGCACAACACACCTATACAAGCACACTAAATACCCACATATGCACATTAAAACATCACACAAATATGCTCATGCATGCACACACTGGCACTCTATAAAAACACACTAATAAATTTACACACTAGCACTATACACAAATGCACCCATCATTCACATACACTCACTAACACTCCACACAAATATGCTCTTACATACACATTGCCATCCAGCCACCCAACTATATTCTGAACTAATCATATTCCCTATTCATCCAGTCAGATAGTCCCGTCTTACCTCCCAGTCAAACCCACTCACCCTGTCACATTCATACACAAAGCCACATAACATGTGACCTAACCCAACCTACCTTGCAATCCAACCATCCACATAGACACCATAGAGTTATACCCTAAAGTACTCACATCCATCCAATCACACACCAGGCTTCATATATATATAATACGGGCTGGTTTGGGCGCATTGAGAAATCTGGCGTTGGGGCAGCAGAGTGGGTAAATCTGTCCTTGAACAGCATGAAATATTGGTCATTAAAATATCAATTTCAGTATTATGATAACAGAATGGTTTGTTTCAAACATCATAGTCCGCAATATACAGTATGACACCGCCTTCAGTGCCTAGACTTAGGTGACAAGGTGACATGTCATTTAAAAAATCTTGTACTGGTTGTCTATATTTCATTTAACTAATGCACGTCTTACTTCATCATGAAGCTTCTTCAGAAATTCAATTTCATCCATCAAAGACTCAATCTTCCGCTCCAGTTCTAGACGTGACAGTGTGGCGTCATCCACATCCTGTGAGAGATTGAGATACAGTTAAATATAGTCATCACATTGCTCTCCCAAAGGGTAATGTGATGCTAGATGAGGCTGAGAAAGATAATCAATAAGATGAGGAAAATATACTAGTTCATGCCAATAATACAAAAAAGTATAACATTTTACTTTTTACTTTTCAAACACAGAGGGACATTTTTAGCTCTGCTCTTAGAGATCATCTGGATATTTAAGTACCACCAACATATTCTGCAGAGCTGTACATTCGGAACACAACCAAATCAAAGAAATGATATGACAAACAAGTTAAAGTAACAGGGATAATTATGGGGAAGGCCCTGTTTAAATTGTTTTACAATTCAATTGTACAGTATCTGTGCTGTAGAGCTGGTAGTTTTTTGTTTTTTTATTATTATAAATTGTCCGATATTAACCAAACTAAGAATGCAATCTCCTTTCTTTCCTCCTTCCCTCCAATATTTACTTCCACTCTGTTCCTTCACTGCAAAACGTCATTACTTTCTCTCAACTCTCCTCGACTTCTCTGCTGTCTTTGATAATGTTGACCACTCCCTACTTCTTCAAACCTTCCACAACCTTGTACTCTGTTACACTGTACTTCACTGGTTTTCATCCTATGTTTCTGTTCGCTCATTTAGTGTCTCCTTCTCTGGTGGCACCTCATCCCTGCTGCCTGTCTCAGTTGGTGTTCCCCAAGGCTCTTTTCTTGGTCCACTATTACTCTCCATTTGCACTATTAACTCCTTTGGATTTCAATACCATGTATATGCTGACAATTCTCAGATTTACCTATTCTCCCCTGACCTCTCTTGTAGAACATGTCACAAACTGCATCTCCAACTAGATCTCTTCCCATTATATAAAACATAATCTTTCCTTCTTCTAATCCTCCTCCTCTAGCTATCTTACTGCACATTGGACACCAATTACCCCAATCCCACACGCATGTTGCTTTGGAGCTACTTTCGACTAACATTAAGTCTGTCTCCAAATCCTTAACTTCCACCTCAAAAAAATTGCCTTGTTTGCATTTTCTAACTCATAATACAACTAAGACACTTGTTCATGCACTCATCATTTCCCGATTTTCATTTCAAATATTACAACTCACTACTTATCGGTCGTTCCAAATAACTGAATTGCCCCTCTTCAGTCTGTAATAAATGCTGCCACCAGGCTCACCTTCCTTACTGACCATTAACAGGGCCAGATTAAGAGCCCAGTGGGCCTGGTGCTGACAATTATGATGGGCCTAATTACAAAATCTTATTGACCAAAAACACTAAAACAGTCCTACCTCCTAAGCGTCATATGTCTGATGGAGATGGTGCTGGAGGGAAACTCATAGGATGCAGCTATGAGAAAACACATACCCTATGCTAATCTCACGCTTTCATCTTTCAAGCAAACCCATACCCCCTAACAGCAGTGTCCAGTAAAGCAGAAAGTCTATGGATGGGGTAAAAGAGTGGGCCACTCACACAAATCACATAACCAGAACTGCCGAAAGGGGTGAACATACACAAAAAGGGGGCATGTCTATGTCCCTATGTCTCCCAGTCCCATAGTGTCTGTGTCCCCATGTCTCCCAGTGTTCCCATGTCACTAGGACACTAGGGGACATTGAGAGACATTGGGACACTGGGAGACATGGGGATACTGAGATTCTAGGGAACACTGGGAGACATGGGGACACTGGGTGACTTTGAGACATGAGGGGGCACTGGGAGATATGAAGCACTGAGACACTGTGATGCATAGGGGACACTGTGATATATAGGGGACACTGGAGACTTGGTTTTGACCTGGGTACAGGTCAAAATGTTGCGGTGTCCAATAAACCTGCTTAAATTTATCACAGTGAGTGCCTGAGATTTTTTTCTTTTATACTAGGGGACACTGAGACACTTGGGGGCCCTGTGAGACATGGGGACACTGGGAGACTAGAGGATTCTGAGAGACAAGGAGACACTGAGACACTAAGGACACTGAGACACTACGAACACTGAGACACTACGAACACTGAGAGACATCAGGGACACTGGGAGACATGGGGCACCGAGACACTCTGATACATAAGGGACACTGTGATACATAGGGGACACTGGAGACTTGATAAAGACCTGGGTACAGGTCGAAACATTGTGGTGTCCAATAAACCTGCTTAAATCTATCACAGTGAGTGCCTGAGATTTTCTCTTTTATCCTAGGGGTCATTGAGACACTTGGGGGCACTGGGAGACATGGGGACACTGGGAGACTAGAGGATTCTGAGAGACTAAGGGACACTGAGACACTAAGGACACTGATACACTACGGACACTGAGAGACACCATGGACACTGTGAGATATGGGGCACTGAGACACTCTGATACATAAGGGGCACTGGAGACTTGATAAAGACCTAGGTGCATGTTGAAACATTGTGGTGTCCAATAAACCTGCTTAAATCTATCAGTGAGTACCTGCGATTTTTTTCTTTTATACTAGGGGACACTGAGACACTGGGAGACATTGGGACACTGGGAGACATGGGGATACTGAGATACTAGGGACACTGGCGGGGAGACATGGGGACACTTGGAGGGCCCCATGTCTCCCAGGTCTCAAAGTTGCCAAGTGTCCCCATATCTCCCTGTGTCCCCCAGTGTCTCCATGTCTCTCAGTGTCCCCTAGTGTCTCAGTGCCCCCATGTCACCCAGTGTCCCAATGTCTCAGCATCCCCAAGTCTCTTACCGTCCCCATGTCTCGCAGGATGGAGCTGCTGTCTGGACTCTGTGCAGAGCTGCTCCCCCGCGGATCAGTGAGTAGTGAGAGGCAGGGAGGTAGATACTGTAATTCCTTATCCCTGCCTTTCTCCACACAAACAGCGACCCCTACTGGCCGACGCTGGTATTGCAGAATAATCTGTTTATACTCAGACAGACATTTGTATTGCCGGTATTACTGCCATGGGCCTGGGCCTGGGCCTGGGTCTGGGCCTGGAGCTGCAGCTCCATCAGCCCCTATGTTAATCCGGCCTTGACCGTTACTCCCACAAGTTAACCCTTTGTCAATCATTACATTGGCTTCCTGTAGCCTTCAATTCAAACCGCTAACACCAACCTAAAAGCCCTCACTAACTTCACATCACTACATTTCCTCTTTACTCTACAAATACACTCCTTTTCATTCCCTTTACTCTGCAAACGACCATCTCCTGACATTCCACTCTGTCTGCAGGAGTTTTAACAGTTGCCCAGTACCTTTGTAATTCCCTATTCCGTGCCAACAGACTGGTAATGTGTATGTTTAGCTAAGAATGTGTGGATATGTCAGGGAAAGTGCACGTTCCTGAGAGGTTATATCTGTGAAAATGTCTAAGAGTATATGTCAGAAAGCCCTGCAAGAATTCTAAGGGACCCACGATTTGTAATGGCAGCTCTGTCTACTTTAGATGTCTGAAGGGGGTCCAGAACACAAGAGGTCAGGAAACCCCATTACCCCTCCCACAGGAAAAAATCCCACCAAGTGCCCTACTCCTCTTAGGGACAGGCAGCATTCCAAGGACAGGATGGAAAGCGGAACCCCAGAAGAGGGCGCATCCATGTACTGGGCAGCTCAGCAGGCCAACTTCCACTGCACATAGCAAAGTATGTCTCTAAGCAACTCAGGGCAAATGCCATCGGGCAACTCAGGCAGATGGCAGCTCCCTACGTGGTCATAATGCAGCTCCTTCTCTTTCCCACTCACAGCCACACCTCCTCTGCCAAATCACACAGTACTGCTTTTATTGTGGAGTGACATATGATTTGGTGGAGGTAGTGAGCCATTCTATCTAGAGGGGCATGGAGCATTTGTCACCCTGCCCCCTTTCCCAGCCCAGTCCACCCCTTTCGGCATCCCATCTTTTTTGTGCTGTTCATTCTAAGGAAGCATAAGACCAACCCAAGCAGCAATGAATTGAGGTATTTGACTGAGATGTCAGTTGACTGTTCTCTGCCTGGAGCAACCACCCATTGTTGGTATAACTTGGTAAACCTCAGGAAGCGTGTAATCTCTGCCTTAGTCAAACATCCACTGAAAGCTCGGCTGTGGGTGGCCAGGGACGTCATGTTAAACAGTTTAAAAACATTTTTTACATTGAATTTAGGGAGATGAAATTGTTATAGTGTCTAGACACAGGGATCTGAATTTCTGGAGTACCAGATGGTGATAGTTTACAATTCTATGAATACAATAGATGGAGAGGAGTAGTTTAGCAACATCTGGGGCAAGAGTTTTGAGATGTCTGGGCCCTAGAATGTGCCAACCTTTTTTATATAATAATCCTTTCATCAAGTTTTCAAAGTAAAAAAGATTCAAAAACAGAAAAAGAGATTATTCATCACTATCTTTAGTATATGACAAGATCCATCAGAAACATACATTCACCTTGGATTGGACAGTGTTTGATAACCGACATTTAGTCTCTATGGTCTTCCCAGCATTGGTGCAGAGAGTGCAGCAGGGAAGACCATAGAGACTAATTGTCCTTCTTCAAACACTGTCTGAAGAAAGGTGCATGACTGAATGTATATTTCTGATGTATCTTGTCATATACTAAAGATAGTGATGGGTTTCTCTATTTTTTTTACAAATACTTTATTTAAAATAAAAAATGATTTCCTTTCAGGACTTGATGAATGGGTTAATTTATGTAATGACTGTTGTCCTTTATTTCTCCGTGATGTCTGCTGAATTGTAAATGGAGGTGGCCTCTGAAAACAGAACTGAACTGAACATTTGTAACCAAATACAGCAAGTAAGATACTTGTAGATTTTAACATCTAAATATCACCATAAATAAGATGCTTTTCAAAACAGCCATTAATTGGATCTCATAAAATTTTTAGAGATGCAAAGCCTGGAGAACTGTTATTTGATTAATTGACCAACATTATAAAACTTTGCCTGCAAGAGTTGTAAAATGCATAACCACTATAGTAAAAATAGATTATGAGAAGTAGATTGATTACTAGTATCTTGTAGTTAATGGATGACAATGAATCAAACATTTGAATAGAGAAACCTAGTATGGGAAGCTGATTTTCTTTATGGTAAATCAATGTAAATAGACGTTTTAATGATCGTAAGGAGATAAATTCAATATGTAAAGGAAGGAAGCAAGAATTCAAATGCTTTATTCAAATTATTAGTGGCTTGTTCACTAAACAGCAAAGTAAAGTGAAATTAAAACTGAATTGCAAAATTTAAGCAAGAAAAAAATATGTACAAAAATTCTTCAACTCAGCTATTGCCATATGTAGGTTATTGTAACCTAAAATTTGCCATTTAATTTCCAGTGCACAATTCAATGTTTAGTAAATAGGCCCCTGAGACACAGACCCCATTATGCATGAATACAAATGCAATGTGTCTAGCATTGATTTATTTATCAAACCAGTAAATATGGTAAACTTTCACCCAAAATGTATCATTTGTGTGTAAATGGTAAAGTTGAAAAGCTAGCTGAATTTGAGCATTTTTCCAGCTTCCTTATTTTGGCCTAATTTTTTCACTTTTCTTTCAATACTCATATTGCAGATTGATTCTGAAATATTAGCATAAAAGCATAAATGGGATTTTGCCTCATAAGGTAGATGTTAAAAATATGGTTAAACCTGACCGAATATTTAATGTGTGATGGAAATATAATGTCTGTGGGCATAATGCCAATATACAGTAAGTACAGCTTCCTACCTAAAAGAATGTGTATGTACTATGTAGAGAAATAGAGAACTGCCACACTGCCTACATGAATGGTCTCACTGTAAGATTGTTGGAGGGAGGAGTAGAAGGCATGGACCTATGCAGCAAGTATACAAAATAAAGAACATTAATAAAACATAAATACCCAGTATAATTAACTGTAAAACAACCTATACATTGTATCTCAAATGTATCTAATGACGCAAGGGATACTCTTTCAAATGTATAAATATATATATTTATCGCATTCAAAGTTATTTTTTAAAGTGAGAATTGTGGAATTTCAAATTTAGGGCAAAAAGAGCCGATCTGGAAACCTTCTCCAAGTCAGTTATGATTCCAGTTTATTTACACTGGCCTTAAATTGGAAATTCCAGTTCCTGACAATTTTCATTTTAGTGAATAACCCTGATAGTTCATAATGAATCCAAAAGTACAGCCAAGAGTTGGGACCCACCTTGCGGAACAGGACAAGATTATTCTCGGCATCTTCTCGTTTATGAATTTCTTCATCCAGCCTGTAAATAGAAAAAATAAAATTCATGTCACTCTGAAATGCTGGAATAGTCTGCTGCAGGTCTCTCTTATTCCCTCTTATTATTCCCTGGTCCCCTCTTAAAGGAAAACTGTCCTTTCCCAGAAATGTTAATATTATATTTACTTATCCTTACAGCATATGTATTTTTGAGCTGTGAAAAATAAAATTAAATGTAGAAAACTACACTGGTTTATCCTGCAACGTTGGTCCTGTCTTCGTTGTTATATGCTCTGCCCTGTGCACAAGCTGTCACCCAAGAGAAAGCAGAGGGAGAAGAAATAAAATATAACCAAATATTTATTTTTCTCCTCCTCATTGGTAATGTATGTTCTGGCTGTGTCTGGATTGAACTGGATTCTGGTGCAATTTGCTAATTATTTAAGAGACATTTAATAGAAAAACAACAGGTTATAGGTGATTTTCAATGTTTTATTATCCACTTTGATAGTTTTCATTCTGGACTCCCAACAGCATAGGAGTTGCTGATTGGGGGCTATGGGAGCTAAAATCCTGGATGCCGGATTCTGCAGCCCAGATCTCTACAGTTTGTGGTGGAGTGAAGAGGATATTTTTCTGTTCTACTTGACATCATTCAGCTGCTTCTCAAAGCGCCCACCTCCTACAAAAAGAAAGATGAGTAGTCTAGTGCGCCACCAGGCTACTATGGTGATGGTGTATGGAGTGGATGCCCCTCAGATGACTATGTGGAGGGTGTGCTGGGGAGAGGTGTTCCATGTCCTTCTATTAGTTAGGTAGCATGGCAAGGTCGCATTGAACACCTGGCTGTGCAGCATGTGCTTCTTTCTGGCTTTCATTGAGTTCCCAGAGAGAATCAGCAGCACGCTATCCATGGGTAGAGAGGAGGGTAAATGTCTCTGTAGAGTCCAACAGATTTTCCTTTGCCTCAAGCCTCACGTGTAACTTAGCACCGTACCTGCCCAAAAGTGTAATGCTGTGCCTGTCGAAAAACTTTCTCAGCAAGCACAGTGCATACTGATAGGCAACTACATATGAAATTTGGAAGTCAATGCTTTAAGACTGACCTACAACATCTACCATCTACTTGGCATGGAATTGAAAATATCTAAACTTATATTAACTTATGTATACATATCACCAATTATTATTCGGGCCTGTAATAACCAGATTTTGGTGACACAGAGAAGAAGCAATATTTCGAAGGATGTGGTTACAGCAGGAACTTTTTAATAAAAATGTGACTTTAGCCCTTTGCTTTGTCCATACAAATCCTAAGTATGGTTTCAGAGCACCACTAAATCAATAAAAAGCAAATTGTCCAGAATAACTGTTGAAAGTGTGTGATCCTTTAATTAAGGAGCCAAGTAAGTTGGTAACGTTTCGGTCCCTAAAGGCCTTTATTAAACTTACTTGGCACCAGGCCCGGACTGGCTATCGGGCATACCGGCAAATGCACGGTGCGCCGCGATGGCCGTGGGCTGAGGCCGGCAGGGGAGACTCACAGGCACTGTAACACTGCCGCTGGCTGGGGAGGGAGAGGAGAGAAAACCTGGTGGAGCTCAGGCCAGCAGCTACACCGGGTTCCTCTCGCGGGATTCTGAGCGTTGCCGCAGTTAGCCCTGCAGGCTAGATTTCACTCTCACCACTGGACCACCAGGGAAGGCAGCACCGCATTCACCTCCATGGCATCACGGCTTCTCCCCCTCCCAGGCTAAAGGTAAGAAGGGAGGGGGGGATATAACATTTTTTTTTTTTAAATAAAATTTAAAAAAAAGATATATATTTTATCAGACATTCACTCACAGTACACTCAGACACTCCTAGCACCCCCTTACACACACACAGCATCCTCACACACAGCACCCTCAGACACATACACATCACCCTCAGACACATGGCACCCTCATACACACAGCACCCTCATACACACGCATCACCCTCAGACACACACACAGCACCCTCAGACACACACACATCACCCTCAGACACACACATCACTCTCAGACACATGGCACCCTCATACACACAGCACCCTCATACACACACATCACCCTCAGACACACACCTCACCCTCAGACACACACACATCACCCTCAGACACACACAGCACCTTCAGGTACACACACAGCACTCTCATACACACACACATTACCCTCAGACACACACACAGCACCCTCAGACACACACACAGCACTCTCATACACAGCACCCTCAGACACACACATCACCCTCAGACACACACACAGCACCCTCAGACACACACATCACCCTCACACACACACACAGCACCCTCATACACACACAGCACACTCTCACACATATACAGCACAAACACACACACACACATATATACAGGCCCGGACTGGCCATCGGGCATACCGGGCAAATGCCCGGTGGGCCGCGATGGCCGTGGGGCCGAGCGCCGGCCCTGCTGTGTGCCTCCATGGGCCGGTGGGGAGATCAAAGATCTCCCTTTACCGGCCCAGAGACACTTCCAGGCGGCCGCTTGCTGGGGTGTGAGGGAGGGAGGAGAGGACCGGCGGAGCGTTGCCGCGGTTGCCGAGTTCACGCTCACCACTAGGACCACCAGGGATCAGGCAGCATGGCTCTCCCATGGCAGAACGGCTCCCCCCGCCCCAGGCAAAACGGTTCCCCCCCCTCCCAGGCTAAAGGTAAGAAGGGGGGGGGGATATAACTTTTTTTTAAATTATTATTATTAATAAAAAAAAAAAATTTAAATTAAAAAATCACACTCACACACACACATCACCCCCAGACACACACAGCACCCCCAGACACACACATCACCCCCAGACACACACAGCACCCCCAGACACACACATCACCCCCAGACACACACATCACCCCCAGACATACACAGCACCCCCACACACACACCCCCAGACACACACAGTACCCCCAGACACACACACCCCAGACACACACAGCACCCCCAGACACACACAGCACCCCCAGACACACACAGTACCCCAGACACACAGCACCCCCAGACACACACAGCACCCCCAGACAGACAGCACCCCTAGAAACACACAGCACCCCCAGACACACACAGCACCCCCAGACACACACAGACACACACAGCGCACTCAGGCACACAGCACCCTCACACACACATAGCACCCTCAGACAGACAGCACTCTTGCTCACACACACATATATATATATATATGTGTGTGTATGTATGTGTATATATATATATATATATATATATATAAAACAAGAGGGGGTTGGCTGCACTCACCTTAACATGCCTTAACATGCATAAATGGGGGTGCTGCTGGGGGCCAAATAATACAATACACAAGATCCAGCGCACTCACCTATCCACTAAACAGCAACTTCAATGTTGAAAGATTTTATTTGTTTTTTAAAAACACCTAATCTAGGCAAAAATAATGGGGGTTTAGTTACATTATATGATCATACATTGCATAAGCCTGCCACAACGTCAATGTACCCCATCTTTGGCAGGTCCTACACTAACAGCCTAATGTCTGCTCTTATATAATATAAAATAACCCTCAGTGAGTTAACAGACAAAGAAAATTAGAATGTGACGGCAGATAAAAACACCCTCACACACAGCACCCCTCTTACATACACACACACTGCGCCCCTCACACATACAATACGTCCAAATATATATATGTATGTATATACACACACACACACACACACTACAGCACTACATACATTACGCTCCAGATACACGCTAGATCCCTTACCTTATATGCACTCTTAATCCTCTATACACACACACAATCTCCTATACACACTCTGGGTCCTTTACACACTAGATCTCCTACACACACACTGCACCACCTACACACACACTACATTCCTTGTCATCAAACACATACAACATTCTCTAAACACACCCTCTCTACAACCCCTACACACACTATGTCACCTATACACACACACTACAGCCCGTATGCACACACTCGCTACATCCCCTATAACACTATGCCCCCTATACACACACTCTATACAGCCCCTAGCCACACATATTACACCACAAACACAAATGAAACTGACCTATTTACACAATACCACACCACACTCTACACACACGCAATCCCACAAGCAGGCTCCAAACACATGCACCATACACTTTCCTGGCCCTTTTGTCCCCTGGTATCCCACTTGTTGAGACACCAGAGACAATTTAAAAGCAAACACAGCGCAAGCATGTTATTAAATTTGCTTGCGCTGCGCAGAACAAATACAGGGCCTTTTTCTAATGCCAGAGCTCTTCAGCGCAGCTCTGCGCATTGAACCAACATGCTCACTTTGAGAGGAGGCGTGCTTGTCATTAGTGATGACAAAACACAGCCTCTCTGGCCCAGCCCCCTTCTTAGGGGGCCGCTCTGATTGGGCCCAGTCCGGCCCTGCATATATAAATATATATATATATATATATATATAGTATAAATTAACCCTCAGTGAGTTAACAGACAAAGACAATTAGAATCATAGAATGTGACAGCAGATAAGAACACCCTCACACACACAGCACCCCTCTTACCCACACATACTGCACCTCTCACACACACATGCTGCACCCTTCACACATACATTCAACACATAATACGTGCCCCTCACACATACAATACGTCCAAACATAAAATATACACTCTGAATCCTCTATAAACACACACACTCTGGGTCATTTACACACTAGATCTCCTACACACACACACTGCACCACCTACACATACTACATTCCTGACATACAAACTCTGGATCCCCCATGCACACACTACATTCCTTTTAAGCAAACACATACAACATTCTATAAACACACTCTCTACAACCCCTACACACACTTTGTCACCTATACACACACACACTCTCTACAGCCCCTAGCCACACATATTACACCACAAACACGAATGAAATTGACCTATTTACACAATACCATACCACAATCCGCTCACTCTACACCCACGCAATCCCTAACATGCTCACTTTGAGAGGGGGCATGCTTGTTATTATTCATGACAAAACACACCCTCTCTGGCCCTGCCCCCTTTTCAGGGGGCCGCTGTGATTGAAAAATGCCCGGGCCGAATTTTTTTCCCAGTCCGGCCCTGCTTGGCACCTTAAATAAAGGATCACACACCTTCAAGTTTTGTGCTGGGTAACTTGCTTTTTATTGATATTGTTTTTGGCTGCTGGCGAGGACGGTGTCTGTGCTCTCTTGTCGTTTGCCTGTGTCCTCAATCTCATTGTAACAGAGTTTTGCTAATTAGCAGTCGTCCAAATTTTCAAAGAGGAACCCTTCTATTTTAGAGATGTGACCAGACCAGGATCTATTAAAGGCCCCCACAACTGTTTTTGTAGGTACTGTCCCAAAATGCAGAGGACTATAGCAGCATAGTCTTCCCTAAAAAGGGTAATCCAAAGAAGCAGCCAGCCAGTCTGGAATGTGTACATGTCAGGCTGACGCAACTCTTCTATTGGCAGCTCCTCCTCCATTCTGCACGGGACTGCCCATTTTGGACGTCATGAGTGGCACGACTGCCATCACTGCCTCGCCCCTTTAATCCCACCCACACCTTCTCATGATTTCATACCTTGCAGTGTTGGGTGGTGTGCTTTTATGGGAATTATTTTAGCTGATTTCACCACCAACTAATAGCTACTTATGTAATGTAACTTTAATATGTTATTCATGTGTACAATGTAATTATTAATAAATATTTATCATGCTAAATTGTGCAAATATAGCTGAATTTTATTCATATTTACACATTTATTTTATGTGATATGCTGTTGATCATTATCCAAGTTGCTATAATTTGTAAAGTTAATTTAGCTTATAAATATCTGAAATACCTGGATTCGCCGTGTTTAGGCTAAAAAGCTCTGCATAAAAGATATTATTCCAACTCAATCTACCAGACACACCCTGTAGGGTGATAAAGGAGACCATCTTTGTCTTTGTTCCTGTTTCCTCCATAATTCAATATCTAAAGTCATCCTATGTAAAAGGCAGGTCTAGAGTTTATTGAATTATTACTCAGAAGCAACTGGTCCTGAAATCAATTATTACAATGGAATATTCTCTATCCCCTACACATGGATGGGTTGTGTCCATTGCACAGGAAAACACATGCCTATGGTGAATCTGTGAATAAATATCACTTGTTGATCCAAAGCACAAAGGGTATATTGCAGCAACCAAAAACAAAATTAGTCTTTATAGTGAAAAATGTAATATTTATTTTGCTCTTGTCTAAATGTATATTATAATGTGCTTCTTTAAGTGGAACAATGTAGGAGGGTGTGTCTCTTGCATATTTGTCTGTTTTTTTAAACTAAAGTTATATTATACATATTTACATTTTTATTTACTATTACATACATTATACCAGTGGTTCTAAATCACGTTATTTCAGTATATTTCTATGTTCCCTTTTTCAGCTTCAACAGAGAAAAGAATGTTAAAAAAAATACTTTTTTAGAATTTATTTTAGTATTCATTTCATTAATCGATTACTGAACTCATTTTATGAGGGGGGAATGATGGAATGAAGAATGGGTCTCCAATGCTGTATTTGTAATTTGAATCCCTATTAAAAAAAGTAAAGAAAATACAGTAAAGTTATACAAATCTGTGCTACTCTACTCTCCGTTAACATCTTCGTTGATGGTAGTGCCACCTATGTTGTGTGCACTTAATCCTCAAATATTCCAACAGTGCCACACCCAGTTAGTTTCAGCAAATGCCTAGATAGAATAGAATAGGGGAAGAATACCATTCTCCTGTACATATCACCCAATTCTCTGCTAACACATTTTTATTTCTAGAAAATACCATGTATTTTGCTTTAGGTTGTTCACTAAATTATCCACAGGCTTTGTGGGAGATGGAAACTGACTATTAATTGTCCTGATTTTAGTAATTAGGGATGATGGAAGTCATGGCAAATATAATTTGTTAAGAATAGTGAATACACTGTTGTTTTGCTAGTCACATAACTGGTAGAAATGTCAACACCTGTAACTAAAGTCCTCTAGACAACTGCACGGGTAACACTTAGCTATGGGTGTATAAGCATGGATGTTACCGAAAGTCAAGAGTTTTTCTTCATTGAAAAATTAAACTGTGGTGAATTGATTACAAACTTGCAAAATATACAACAAAATATCACAGTTGCAAAAACTTTACTATTCAGCTGAGATTTATTCACTAAAATGGAGGTTATGAAAAACTTACAAGTTTATTTCAAATTTTAGGCAATAATAGCAAAATGGCAAAATGTATCTCATGTAGCTATGTATCCAGTTTAGAAATGCTGTACTAACATGGTTTATTGTCACCAGTTCCCGTTTTAACACATAGAAGTATACAAAACTATATTATAGTATAAAAAAAGTATATCAAAATATAACTTCAAATATTTTTCCACTTATGAAATTTTGGTATAAATATTGCAACTTGTTGATTCAATGCTCACGTCACATTGTCTAATAATAACCCAATAATCTGTGTTGTCCAGTCAGACAATGAAGATCAAAGCTGTCTTGTCCATCTAATATCTTGTTGGAAATTGACAGCTTTTACTTGGGCAGTATTTCAGTATACCATTGGGAGCTTGTTCTATGACACTTTCACTCCCAGTGGTGCACACAGCATGTCCCTGGTGCTAATGAGCATTAGTCTAATGATGTATTCTGTATATCCTATGGCAACTTGACAAAAGACTGAGAACAGAAGTGATGGCCTGGAATGCTGCCATTGTAGACCCTATTATCCTTCTGTCTCTCTCACTGGATCTAATTGCCCTTTGTGTTCATTCGTTTGCTGTATGGACTTTCTCATGAAAAACTTGGAAACTTCAGCAGCACACATTGACCACTGCTATCATCGCAGCTATACACATGTTAACATGTTACTGACCACTGCTATCATCCCAGCTATACACATGTTAACATGTTACTGACCACTGCTATCATCCCAGCTATACACATGTTAACATGTTACTGACCACTGCTATCATCCCAGCTATGTACATGTTACTGACCACTGTTATCATCCCAGCTATGTACTTGTTAACATGTTACTGACCACTGCTATCATCCCAGCTATGTACATGTTACTGACCACTGTTATCATCCCAGCTATGTACATGTTAAGAATCAAGGCTGTGTCTGTATAAGTAAAGGCTGTCACAAATGTGCGTAAAACACTGCTCTGCACATTACTCTAGCACACAAATAGTCAACACTAACAACCATTGTGGCAATGAATAAGCAACATAAACACTGTCCCTACTACAGTAAGAACAAAAGTAGCTAACTAAAGTAATAAAACATATTTCTAAACAACTCACATACATGTTTGAAATACACGTTAAAATACCATCTCTTTATTTTACCTACTGTATATTTTATGAAAGCTTAGCCAGGTGGGTGTGGCCCTGAGTATGACTGGCATATGAAATCAGAATTGATTACCAACTTGTTACTGCAGTCTGGTTTAGGGTCAATAATACACTTGTTTAGATGACCACATTGTAATGAAGTGCAAGCCTAATTTCTTTTTGTAACAGGATACCAAAAACACAGCATCACCTGCATGTATAAGGGGTCCTTAGGCAGTGGATGAACATTTACATACTATAACATAAAATCTGGGATTTATCAAGGCAACAACACAAGTGATACTCAGGATGCTAAATGCTGAGAGTCATTGTATTGCTTTGCATGATGATTGCTCATTTTGTAGAACTTTGTTCCAGAATAACACCTGTTGTTTTTATAACTAGATCAATATCCCTTTCTAGTTATCCCAGTCCTAAAATTCTTTTACAGAAAGCACCATGATGACAAGGGGGGCAGCAGAGAGTTCCTCTCTCCTAAATTACTAGGAGCAGCAGCAGACCCAGGCACTCCCCTGATAATAAATGGTACCATGCCCACATGGCAGAGCCAGACACGTGTTTTAGTACATGTTACCTCCCCCCTCACCCCCCGTATTTTATGACTAATTGAGTGACCCAGCCCCCCTCACCTTTGTTTCAGGAAAGACAGGTCCTCGGCCAAGTTGTCTCTGTCCACCTGGATGTTGTCTCTGTCCTTGGCCAGGAGGTCCAGCTGTCTCCTCAGCTCCCTGAGCTCCTGCTGGCACAGATCAGCAGCCCGGGTGGGCTCCTTGGACCTGGCCTGGTTGATCTCGGTGACCAGCACGGCATTCTGCTGCTCCAGGTAGCGAACCTTCTCAATGAAGCTGGCGAAGCGATCATTGAGCTCCTGCATCTCGGCTTTCTCATTGCTGCGGGTAGTCAGGAACTCCTGGTTGATGGCGTCAGCCACAGAGAAGTCCACCCGGTCCACAGACACACGGATTGGGGTGCTGGACCTCACCCGGTAGGCTGAGGATCGGCTGGAGGGACCCGGGGATGGGCTGCCCAAATGTCTGGAAGTTGAGAGTCTGGAAGAGGAGGAATAGGACAGCGGGGAAAGGACTGGAGCCCCAAATGTCCTGCGGTAGGAGGTGGAGGAGCTTCTCATACCTGAGTGACTCATGGTGGCTGGGGTTCTGCTGGGAGTCTGTCTGTGAGATGTCTGAGGACCACAGGGTACCAGCTGCACTGGGATGATGGAAGAAAGTCCCTCACCCCTGCAGGCTGCTTATAAAGGCAGCCTGGAGCATCAGTGAGCACACACAACTCCTCCCTGTGGGACCACAAGCATCTTTTGTCCTGAGCACATAGGGGGAGGAGGGGGACCTGCATCCACCACGCCCTCAGTGTGCTCAAACTGGGCTTCCTGTGCTGTGTCAGTGTGGTTGCCTTAGTCTAGTAAGGGTGTGACTACAGCAGCTGATATGGCCAGTACCCCAGAAATAAGGGAAATAAAACTTACTAAGAGTGGGTATTGATGTCATTGACAGAATGTTGCTGTACCAAGTTAGTTCAGTATTAATCATAACACCTAGAGATCAGAGTCGATAACCTTAGGAATTTTATTTTCTTTGTTTTATTTTTAATAAATGAGAGAGGTTTGGTAGGCTCTTAGTGTTCAGAGGGTTAAATGGCTTGTGTTCTTTTAGTAACCCATGTCTAAATTTTACCCTCTAATCTAGTTAATCATATTTTGGTGTCAGAGGTTAAGGCCAATAGGCAATACTGGTTTGCTGGGGCCACTGGAACATCTGCTACTCTACTCGCCCAGGTTGAGAAGATGCACTTAACATATTGGGAGCAACTGGATCTCACTGTAATTCTGCACCCATGTTACATTAGAACATTTACATTCCAGTGATGCTTATCTTAGTAATGTTTGTGAGCTACATTCTCTAAGAAAACTCAGCCAGGCTTTATGTTGGCTAGGCATCATATGAATTGTAGTTCTCAATTATTTGGGTGTCAGAGTTACACATGCGTGTTCTAGTATGCATGGGGTCTAATGCTCTCCTATGTTTTCTTTACAAAAAAATAATTTAACCAGCCACTGCAAATTATTATTAGTACTGTATTTAGAGCTGTACTATATCTGTATACAGGCTCTTATTATTAAAGAATATATACATTTGGGATAAATGATAGATTTTCCTTCAAGGTCACTATTTATAAAATGGGGGTATTTGACTAACAATAAATAGTATTGTAGATCCATTTAACAGCCAGGCTTTTAAGAAATATAATGTGATATTTATTTTGTCAATCATATTGTATTGTGTAGTAAGAGAGTTGACATACATACAGACATTGCAGCAGAATAATACAGATTTTAAAATGAAATAGGTTTAAGAAAACTTCAAGACCGTCACGTTCAATCTTCACACATGTGCCCCTGCTCAAAAAGAAGGCAAAAAATAATAATATTGAAGCAATTTCCAGTTGCACTAAAAGTGACACAATAACAGGTTAAACATACCAAATGCAAAACTAGTGCTAGACCCCCGCTGAGAATAGCTGTGAAACAGCCTGGGACAGTGGAGCCATGTGCAGACAAGACAATGAGAAGACGTAAGACAAGCAGTAGATATCCAGACATAATATTATGTATGTGGCATTGCTCCAAGACAAGGCAAGGAGTGTCCTTACATAAGTGCTTGACATACAATCATACTAACCATGGTTGTGGAATTGGCAAGGATTGTGGGTTGGTAATGATGCTGATAATGGCAGCTGCAAAGGAACACAGTTTATGATAGCCAAAAACACTGAAAGGATTTTTTATACCCACATCCACTGCCTCCTCCTAAGAGGCAAACTCACTGTGTCCCATAACTGCAGGACCTTGATGATTCTTTAAGTGTTATCAGTGATACAAATGAACCCGCAACAGGTTAAAATGGCAGTGGCAGTACATAAAGCCTTGCAAAATGGTCATAGGAACAAGGGAACCATGGGCTAGATCTTAAATTAGGGATGGATAAAAACTTTTGGGATTAAAAATTCAGTCCACTCCATTGTATTAAGTTAATATGATATAATAAATGATTGGCACACATGTAGTATGACTATGCATTGTGTGTTGATACAAACTTGCCAAGCACTATTTCAGTAAGGATGTATACCACTAAAGTATATAAATGCCCTGATATGACTTTCTAGGGTGCTATCCCCACAATTGGGGAAAATCTCAGATTCCAGCATTGTTTAGTAATGAGGCACACCATAAACATTTTCTCAGCTTGTCCCTTAGAAAGGCAATTGTGTTTGCAAATAGGTTCTATCACTGTTTTCAGCTCTCCATATTGTCATATTTTGGTGACGTTTTAACCCTTTAAGGACCAAACTTCTGGAATAAAAGGGAATCATGACATGTCACACATGTTATGTGTCCTTAAGGGGTTAAATAACTTTAATATTTTATTTTACATTTTTGTTTATGAGCAAGATATTTGTTTTTTATAAAGTATAAATCAAACAGATTTAACAGAGACAGTATACAAGCAAGTATATTGAAAGTGAAATTTACCCCACATAGCGATTTTGCTTGACAATGGAGTATATCTTTAATAACTTTTGTCCTGGCGCTTTAAACATTACTGTAGTGGCTATAGTGCTTGGAGTGTTTTTTTTAGCATATATTGTATTTTGTGCATTTTAAGTTAAATGCGTAGTTTTTTGGTTTTTTTTGTGGATTAACAAAGGTAGATTTTGTGCAGTTCTACAATCTTTGAAAAAAGTTTGGCAAAACTATTCCCTATGAAATGTGAGATTTACCAAGCCCATTTTAGAAGTGTCCGCTGTCTACCTACTGAGTTTAGTTCAGAAGTACGGTACAGAAGAACATTTGGGTTTCAAAAAACAGTTGGCTGGTTAATTGTGCTGGATTTTTAATACTTTGGGTAGATATGTGCACTGGAACGTTAGATGCTAACCTGGTATATTTGCTCATGTACTGCTATGGCTTTTTTTTGTAAAGCTGCACTGTGGGTGTGACCAGTGTAGCTAATTGAATCACAAGGACATCTCATAGTGGTGTGACTAAATTGTCTACTAAGAATATTGTCCCTCAAGAAACCTTGTCTGTAAGATCTAAAAGGAATATGTGATGTAATGTATGCATGGAACCGGAATGTCAATATTTGTGAGTCTTAATTTAAAATCAAGAAAGAGTCACATATTTTTGGACATGTGAACATCTTATACACAAACATGTTTGATATAAAATGCAATCACAGTTGGAAGAGATGCTCAACGCATTTAGAATAAAATGTATAGCTCAAAATCTAGATTTTTAGGTTTGATAACTGCAGACTGGAGGAGGAGGCTTTTGGGTAACGTTCTGGATGTGGGGCTCTTTAGCTCTCGATCTCCACAGCTGGTAGAGGGGGCAGATGGATATTAGTGTTTTTAGTTTCTTTTTACATTTTAAATTTGGTATGTTATAAATTTAATAAGCTGCTTGTTACAAAAAGAAAGATTAGTAGTAGGGTGCTCTGCCAGGCCAGTTTTAGGGAAGTGGGTGATGTCCCCCAGGTGACTGATAGGGGAACAGATCTTTATGGTGCACCCCTCTGTTATTCATGAAACATGTATGTGCTCGTTTCGGACTATACTTTCATTGACATCTTGGAAAGCATCAGCAACATACTGTTCATAGGTTTCAAGGACAGAACATAACATAACATAGAAAGGCAGACATGTCCTGACATATCTCTACCTTTCTGTCAGTATAAAGGACATCAAGTTTTCATTTGGGTTCAAGCCCTAGATGTTTCTAAAACCTAACAAAGCCAATATAGACCAACACATTTAATTCCCCATTTGGTTTGATCATGAGGAGATACATAAAGATATATAATTTGGGTGGCCTAAATACCACCTTTGTGAGGCTTACCAGTTCACTTACTTTGGAAACCTGTAAAATGAAGTCAGTAGGAACCATTCACAGTGAGGATAACTTGTAGTTTGCATAAAGCCTTATCATATTTAGAATGTCTGGGTTTTCATAGAGCATTTAGGTCTCTGAAAATGGGATTGGTATGTAATATCCACCGTCCCCTGCTTACCTCCAACTCCAAATTATAGTGTCTCTGTCCATTTATTTCTGTCCTCTTTTTATTTTTTTATGAAGATTGTATATTTTGTAAGAATAAATGTAACACCAGGCTATTGACCCACTAATGTTAACGGAAGTTACTTTAATATATAACAGCTTCTAAAGCGGTAGATATACAATTTATCATAGTGAAAAGTCATATATCTGTATTCTTTGAGAGCTGTTAAAGTGTTAATTACCTGCTTCCCATCACTCCAGCTCCACCATTCTTGGGGGGTCCATGCATGTTTCATTCTTGTAAATAGGGATGGCCTTTGGGGTTTGCAAGCCGTTTGGCCGCATAGTGCTCCATGACAACACAGACACCAGCTGACTGGCACAGCTCACAACAACATCTGTAGATCATTAATCCAGGTCTGGCACTACCTTAAGGCTTACAGTGTCCTTTCCGGTCCATGCAGTCCCACAGTAGCCCAGTGAGGTGCTGAACACACCAGCAAACCATGCAGAGCATGAATATACCTCTCATGAGCTTCAGCACTAGCAAATTGGACTTTACATAGGACACAAGGTGCGTTTAGACTGAAAGAAAGAAAGAAAGAAAAAGAAGGTTTTTTACTGTAAGAACAATAAGGATGTGGAATTCTCTGCCTGCAGAAGTGGTTTTATCAGAGTCCATACAGATGTTCAAACAGCAACTAGATGCATACTTGCAAAAACACAACATTCAAGGATATAATTTTTAAATGTAGGGTAATAGCTTCTTGATCCAAGGATTAATCTGACTGCCATTCTGGGGTCAAGAAGGAATTTTTTTCCTAGTTTGTTGCAAAATTGGAAGTTTTTCAAACTGGGTTTTTGCCTTCTTTTGGATCAACAGCAAAAAACAAATTTGAGGAAGGCTGAACTTAATGGACGCAAGTCTCTTTTCAGCTATGTAACTATGTAACTATCACTGACAGTATTTGTTGTGTAACCAGTGGCAACACCCTGACACTGTCAGAGAGCTGGATCTGGCAACAAGAACATGCCAGGTCTGCATCTAAGTTACATACAAAAAGAGCTCTGGACCGCAGGAAATTAAATGTCTCCCCCTTCAGGCCCAAGGTAAATAACTGTCTGTCATTGTGCTTAACTGTGTGTATATATATATGGAAGGCAGGGCCTGAAGTTTTGGGAGGGGCTTGGTTCCCCCTCTTAAGGAGCACCAGCCCTGCACTCACTACCATCTCAGGTCTGGAGATTTGCATACCCTAACTTTCGGTCCGTGCAAATCGCCAT